GGGCCAAGGGCCACAAAAGGTACCTTGGTTTCCAGAGAATTCGAAGAGAAATACTCAACTGAGACTGGCAGCCCGGAACTCATCCTGGTAGGTTGACCTTACCTGGGAGGTCTCTGTTCATTATCGGTGGGAAAAAACCATGGCTGCCCCGGTGCCAACCCAGAAACACAACCAATTGTCAGGCCCATCCAGGAACACCGAGCCCGAGATCCCCTGGAAAATAATGGTAATTATATATAATTTGAACTTTGCACCCAGGTTGTAGTGGGCTGTCCCCAATCACAAGTCTTTGCATTTCAGTCCCAAGTACAAGTCTCTGCTGGTGTAAACTCCTGGGTTGAGCTTGCGTGCGAAGAGCCTGCGGCAGAAGATTTCGGTAGGGTTTTTTTCGTTCGAGAATTGGGGTGATCTATGGAGGCAAACGCAAGTGATGTTGACAGGGCACATGCACGAAAACTCACATCTTAAGTCTTAAATTGCCAGGATGTTGTTCTTTCTTCTCCTTAGACCGCAAAGGAGGATTTCATGAACCCAGAACTGGACGGTTAATTGTCTATACGTTGTTGAGCTGTAAAAAGAAACCACTCTTGCCGCAATGGGGACGTCCTCAGAATTCTGATATTTTTTTCGCTGCCAAACCATCCTGATTCCCGTGAAGAGGTGGAAAAACGGAGCAACTGATAGCATCCGGGAGATGGCATCTTGAGGGATGACTATAAAAAGTACTATAAAAATGCAGTACTATAAAATAATTAGCGGAGCGACACACAGCCATAAAAGTCAAATAGAGATGCAGTCCTCCATGATTTCGATGTCTATATGCCTCTTGCACTTGGGCCTGCTCCAACACAGCGACTCTAGAAACACCGACTTGCTTCTTCTCATTGTCTTGCATCAAGGTCCGACTCTGCCAGAGACGGAAGATCCACAAATTCCCACCGGGATCTCCAGAAATCAAATGTTTCAGTACTGAAACAGCTATGTTGTTGTGTTTTGTGTGCTAAACATTGTAATCTATACTATACTATATGCAATCAAGAAAAGCTGTTTCAGTTGCCTTCGCTCCAAGAGCTTGAGAGCTAACAATGTTAGCTCCAATGACAAAGTCACAAAATCAAGCATATACAAATTAAAACCAATTTATGCATATAGAACCAACATACAATAGTCCTTTTGATCTACCTTTGTCGAGAAAATAAACATGATGAATGTTCAACACTGCATTTTTACATACCTCAACCCACTTGCACAGATTAAGTTTCTTTATATATTTCATTGGCTCCAAGCATGCCCCATTGAGTTTTGCAACAGGTCTTCAGCATCAAGTGTTTCCCTCCATTGACATTCAAAGCCTCCTTCCCTCCATCTGCCACGCCTGTTGGGCATAGGATATGGCCCATGAGGACCAAATTCCCGTGCCAAATGCTCCTGGCAATTGCAACGCTGAAACACCACATTATCTTATTTCCTGTCAGCCTTCCGGTATCCTTGATGAAGACTTGATTCAATTGCCGTGGCCAAATTCTATCAAACATCATATGAGGCTGTCAACCTTGTGCTAGAAGGGAAGGTTGTTGTCGAGGAACTGTAATTTGGAAGACCTGCCGCTGATCAAAGAAGAACGGAACAACACATTGTTTCAGTTTCCTGTCCAAGTTTGATTGAGCTAACCTCACGGTCGATGTACACAAAGGCTCTAAAGAAGTCTTCCAAACGTGTATCTAAGTACTCCAAGGAGCATTCAGGTGGACTCCGAAGCGATCTTCCGTGGGTTTGAGGAAGACCGGTTTTTCGGATGACTCCGAAACCTGGGCCGAACGAAAGTGGCGGCTCGACCAATGCAGGTGCCAACACAAACCGACACTGCTCGTCACCCGCCACAAGCCATTGAACCTTTTCCGACAGGTGTCACGTGTCAAAGGAAACATGATAAATCAGATTACCAAGCCCACCAGCGCCCACAAGCCCAAACACTCCACGTAAGGAACATCGCTATATATATATATATCCTACTACCTGTAACGGTGGATGATGATGGTTAGTAAAGGCCTTGTCCAAAAATGGTAATAACTGTTTACTGACTGTTACAAGTAATAGGACAAACCCCATATATATGTATATATCTATACATTGACCCCTGAAGCCGGGGTCGTCTATCTACCAGGACCCACCTTGTCGGGCGACCCCTTTGGAGTCTCATCCGAACAAAATTGATAGGCTAATCAAGCGAACATCAGATCTCAAACAGCCAATGAGCGAAGGGCGAAGCTCCTGGTGAGGTCCTGGTGTCTAGCAAGTCTTAAGTCAGAAGTCATCCCCAGAACATCTGAGTCTCCCAGTTCTGAAACCCTCCCAGGAAATCACCAGGAAGTCATGGGCCTCGAAGACGAAAGGATGGCCAGGAAGTCTATCAGACCAAAACAGTCTCCACTTCCATGATTCCAGGGAGTCTACGCAAATCTACGCAAACAAACACATAGGTAGTCTCCACTTGCGATCGTCCGTCACGGCCTTTCGGCAGTGAAGCAAAACATGCCAACGAGCGCCCCTCGGAGGAAGCCCTCTTCAGTGCACAGCTCCATCTTCGTTGGCTCCTGAAGGCCACGGAAGGACAAGGAGCACGGAAGGCCAAAGGAAGCTGAGTAACTGAGTAACTGATGAATGTTCCAAAGATGGTCCCAAACACGACCGGTCTGGGGCATCTTTCATCAAGCCAGGGGTGGTTACCAGAAAGTCAATGTTGTTACAGGAACGTACAATACCATACCAGTTACGAGTCCCAAGGATTCCCTGATTGTGCCGGGAGATGGAGTGGGAGAGGTCTTTCAAAAGTGCTACAACCCTGAAAGTCAAAAGTCCCTGTATTTTGGGTCCACATTAATATCACCCTACTCGTATACAAGGTGCACCCAGACAAGCATAGGGTCTTCAAACTTGATGATTTTCTGGAGAAGAGGTCACTGGTTCCATCAAAAGGACGGACCAGTTCGGGAATGTCCTCAAATTCGAGGTCGGTGAAGTGACCCTTCTCCTGCCTTGATTGTTTATGCTTGTCTGGGTACACCTTGTATACGAGTAGGGTGATATTCATGTGGACTCTTGATCAATAATCCACCCTATGAAGTAGTGGGTTTATTGATCAAGAGTCCACAATACACCCGTTCTGATAACTATTAGGTGACAGCTTTAATTTCCTGAGCTGGCCGTTTCGTTTGACCCAGAGACAACGCTATTCGCGCTATGTGTTCCGCTTGTTCAATCATGTTCAAGCCACCTGGACCGTTAGGGGGTATCCGACATCTTGAAGTAGCTGTACGGTCCTCTTTGGTCCATATAGGTGACCCCAATCGGATGGCTAGCTGCCCATCGACCCAAGATGTTGAAAACCATGGCGCCCTGAATGAGGAAAAGGGATCCCGCCAGCGACCCGAGCCATCCCTCAAGGTCGCTGGGAAGGGATGATACACACGGCACCCCCTCACGGCCAGCAGGTCAACTTTCTCTGCATCTCCGTCTGCATTGGCTTTGCCAAATCACGAATTCAGGAATTCGGCAGCGACGATTGATGGACGCAACATCCTCTTTGGTTGACTCTTTTTTAAGTTGTTTCAAGCATTCTGCAGAAGGTTAGACTTTCCTGAGGCTTTGGTTTAGACAGGTCTACACTCCCTGGAATTATCATGCAACTGGAAAACCAGCTACAAATGTTTGTATTCGGATTGAACAATGCTCCTCCGAGTCTTCGGGGCCCATTTGTATCGGGGCACGTTGGCCCGGATGATGTCCAGGGAGTGGTCAGCAGTTAATATGCAATGGTGGATTTTGCCAGTTCACTGATCACTGTTACAATGTAACAATTGCCATCACTGCAGCTGCAATAGTCATATCTCATTGATCAGTAGTAGCAGCAGTAGCAGTAGCAGTAGCAGTAGCAGTAGCAGTAGCAGTAGCAGCAGCAGCTGCAGCAGCAGCAGCATGAGTAGTAGTAGTAGTAGTAGTAGTAGTAGTAGTAGTAGTAGTAGTAGTAGTAGTAGTAGTATTAGTAGTAGTAGTAGTAGTAGTAGTAATAGTAGTAGTTCGTCGTCGTAGTCGTAGTCGGAGTCATATAATTGCATGTTCCTGCTTGGCGGACGAATCAGCTGATCCAACGATCTCCAAGTACTGTCGACAGAAGCTCCGCGGACGTCCACCACTCGTCTCGAAGCTCGGGGTGTAGAGGCGAGATGAAAATCTGTGACGAAGCCCGAGAGGCATGTTCTTTTCCTCATTGTAAACGGTTGATTTCTAAAAGATACTAAAAGCAACTGCCAAATGCTGAGGGTTTAAAATCCAGATTGGGAAGGTTTTGTGCCTCGATTACCAGGCCAGCATTTAGAGCAAAGATGCCGGCATCAAAAAACGTGGACTCGATGAGGGGCTTCATGAATCAAGTCCTTCTCGGGAACTCCGAGCAGCTGGGTCCAAGAAACCACCGTATTTGGCTGAATGACTGACTCCCGAGCCGTTTCCCTGGAAAATTAAAAGCCAACCTTTTTTCCACTTGTTCTATCGATCTAGTGGGGAAACCAAGCCTCCAAACAAGGTGTGCAGGTGATCCACTGACTCGGGATTCATAGGATCGTCCGATCGAATTTTGTATGTCCACATTTCACTTTAATCAGTCGAATGATCGACTGACATGGTAGTATTCCATAGGTTTCTTTTGTTTATCAAATCAATAATATAGTATGTCCATATTTGACATGATCGACGGCAGAACATTTCTCCATCCCCAAAGACTCCATGCCTATGGATCCACGGATCCACCCTCTGAGGTACCGGTTTTTCGGGAGACTTCAAAAGCACGCAGCTATGCAGACTTCAAAAATCCAAACACCTTCAAAGGAGCTACTTGGATCTCTAGGTCATGTAACTACGGACAATATATAGTATATGGACTATTCTGGACTTGTAATTACCCACTTCCTGGGGTACTTGGAGGATATGTAAGATAAATATCTGGACCCCTCTTCAACCATCCCAACTGATCAATCTTAGAAAAAACCCTCGAATCAACAGCTGGCTAAGCTACCCGGCCGGCAGAACATCCACCTCTTCACGAGCCGATCAGCTGCAATCAGCTTGGCTGTCCTTTTCCAACCATCCTTGTGGTCGAGGGACGAGCGCCCATCACCAAGGGCGCAGAGATGGGAGGAGGCCTAGAGAACCGGCGAACTCGTGCAGCGGCTGCAGCTACCGAACCGAACCCTGGCTGATTCCTGCAGAAGACACACAAAACAAAATATGTACAAGCACCTTCAAGTCATGAGCCCCACTGAAAACGCGAGGTTCGTTGTGCGAAACAGGGCTGAGACAAAGGAACACCGTTGGAAGAGAGGTGGAGGCTGTGAGCTGCCTATCCTAACTAGTGGTCTTAGCATGTTTTAGCCAATCGCAAGGACTAAGGGTCTAAGAGTACGCCTGAGGACAGTCAAGTTGTGAGTTTCTCCTATGGTGGGATAGCAGGCATTGAGCCTTGTGTTTGACAGATTTCCACTGAACACCTACTTCATACTACTTCTGTGCTTCCCAAACATGTTTGCCAAAGGGAAGGAACGAAGTGTTGCCATCCAGGACATTTTCAAATCAGGTCCGGCGACTCCCAGCGATGTGAGCGGCTCTCAGCCGTTGTCATCGGTGGCATCCCTGGGTGCACCAAAAAGGGGGGGGGGGCCACGCTTGTGTAGACTCTTCGACCCTCCAAAATACCTTAGAACATGGGACGTGACCCTGTATATGATAACAAAACAGGGTACTTGTACCCAGTTTTCGAGGTACAACCAGGTTGAGTATTAACCCCTCCCCATTTGGATTGTACAACCTCTTCGTGTGGAGGATTGTATCAATCGTCCACATGACCAGGACCATCCGCTTTGGGTGTCCTACCTGGAGATCCTGGATAATGTAGTCCATCTGATGAAGAGGTTTTCCATTGTTTTACAATCCAAATGAGCAGGTTTTATGACTCAAGAGTTGAACCAAGACGAAGTTTTGGCCACCAGTCCTCTGGCATAGGGTTGCCCAGCAGCCACAAAGAGCCACTAAATCCACATACATCATGATATCTCATGATCACCCCCTTGCTGTTCTTCTTTTCTTTCTTTCTCTGCATGTAGCAGTCCGAGTCCCTGTTGCTCTAATTGAAGCACCACACAGCCACGTCTACCCCCCGATACTCACAGCACCTTCCCAATACGGCGTCGGACACCCCGGCTGGACAACCGACAACACGAAATGACGGGGATCAAACCTGATCACACGAAGCACCTGATGTGCCCACTTGGACCCCGGCAGCATGCCATGCGGCACACCTGCATGATTCGTGTATCAAATGGAGTATATACATGATTTGTGCATTTTGCAGTCATATTGTCATCAGAGCAAGCATAAGCAGGAAAAGGACTTCCTTATCTTTCCTTCACATGGGTGAATTCCAATGACATGATCGAGTTGCACCTAAAACCATGTCCTCACTCAGTGCTTGGCAGGGGCATACACAACGCACATACTTAACGTGTGGATGGTGGCTCTCCTAACCCCGCCCTGATTCCTGGAGATGCTCTGATGGCCAAAAGCTTTCCCTTCATGTCCAACCTCCCCCAAACATGTCTTTCCACTGGCTGGAAAAGGTAGGGGATTGCTGACATTTGTGCCTGGAAACCTGTGAGAGAAACAACCATACGAAGCTTGGAGCTGTAAAAACCTTCACGAAGGGGTACTGTTGGAGTTCTGGCTAGATCCGGGGTACGGTTGGAGAGTCATGAAGAGGTACTGTTGGACTCCGCGCAGAGTCATTCCACCCATTCTCTTCGTTCGTCCGGCGCCATGAGTGTTTTATATAAGGCTCAAAACGAGGTCGGGCCCTGTTTAACACCAACATATGGGCATGTATCTTAGTTCAAGCCCTGGAAACCCATTGGGCGAGGAGGTCTCCCTATTGATACACGTTACACACGCATAAAACTGGCTGGTGGTTTCAACTCACGAACGAAACATGCTAGTCACTGCTAGTCAGTGGGTTCAATCATCTTAAGTCAAGGTTGAAAACAACCATCTCTCCAACCACCACACAAACAACATTAAAAACAAACACATATTCTTTGTGCAATCCTTAATGTCCTACGATACCGGACCGGACCAATATATACAGAAAAAACACCTTTGCAAACACCTTCATCGACACTACACGTTCGCAGTCCATGATATGTGTGTTGCTGACCAGAACCATCCATTGTACGTTTGTAGACCCACTCTTTGTTGATACAACATGAAAGAAACGTTTCCACCAAACACTCCGTGGAACTGGACAATTTACCTACATTGGGGTTCTTTCAGGGTCAATGTATATAGTGTTAAATATGCCAGCTCCATGGAGTGTCTGGGCTTAGTACCTTTATGAGATAGGCCCTACCTTTCCAAATGTCCGCTTCGATAAACGGGGCGTCACCTGGCTGCCAAAGCGGGGGCGCGACGGGTGCCTCAAAGCGATGAAGAAAATGTTGAAGTTCAAGGAGCTATGCACACAGGTTGTCACAGGACCTTTCCAAGCCTGTGTTGTGTCTTTTGTTTCTCCCTGTTCATTCTGGCTGGAAACAACATACTTTCCGCCAAATGATGGAGTGCTCGATGAAGTGCGAAAAACTCCTTCGCTAGCGGTGGTGGTTTGGGTATGAATCCGATCAATTAGGTCGGAGCCCACAACCGTTCCAGGCTGACATAAATCCCAAGATGAAGGGTGTCTACCAAAGTCTTCCTATCTGGATCCATCCCATCTGAATATGGATTATTTCAGCTAATCTGGGGTTTTATCACAGTTGAATAGATGTGGCAACATATGTTTTTCCAATGTTTCCCATGTGCGAATGCCGAACAATCTAGCCGGTTTCGGCGTTGAATTCATTAAAGTGCCAATTGTCATCACCAATGACCAAAAAGGACAACGGAACCGAAGCACCAGAAGCCACGGAACCGAAGAGCAAAAGCCGCTCCGACCACTTCGAACGACCAAGCACCGACTTCCACGAACGAACGAACGATCCGTAGCAAGAACTACATCGTCTTCAGGGCGGCGGCGGCGGCGCACACGTCGGTAGGTTTGGAGTTGGTATGAACGACGTTGAATGACCCAAACTCTCATGTTCTTTAATCGCTACTAGGGTGGAGGCCATCGCTACCAGGGTGGAGAGACAAGTACAGTTGGAGGGCAGACCTTTCCGGCAACATGGCAAACACCTTTAAAACTTTATTCGTTACGAATGCACACTTCAATTGTTCGCCAGGTGAAACATTCTTGGGGCATGTCGGGTTGCGCTTGGAATGGGCCGGGTGGGGTGGGTGGGGATGGTGCCATTCGTTGTACATGCACACTTCACGCGCTTGCCAGGTTCAAGTTCATTTGCGAAAATACGTCGCTATTCGAGACGGTTTTCTCGCTCTTAAAGACGGTATACAGTATATAGTTTTTTTGAATTCCACAACACCATTTTTTACGCATGTCCAACAAATATGCAATCTTGCACTAGTGAAAACAACATTTTTGCAACGTGAAAATGCTCCGGAGAGACAACAAAAACATTGGCCAACGGGTCGCCAACCAAGTAGTTCGTAGGCTTGAAACTTTTCTGATGGTGATTTTGCCTCACCGGCGAAAAAATGGATTGAACAAACAGCAATATCAACAATCTGCTGTTATACAACCTTGCTGTCATCTTCTAATGATAAGCATTTCTCTAGGTCCCGGGCCTGCATCGCATAATTGGGACTTCTCCGCCCCTGGCAAAAAAGAACAACACGCGCAAAGGATTCACACCTGTAGCACAAGGTGAGAGGCACACCCGTGGCCAATGATGTCCTTTTGGGAACAATATATAGTGGTGTATAGTGGTGTCGATTTAGTACCATATCAGTATCTGTTTAGATCTGTACCATGGTAGCTTCGGCCACGTCATTGATTGAACAAACATGGCTCAAAGAGGTGATCAACAGTTGAGGAGAGGAGGCATTTGCATGCATTTGCATCAAACATGTCGTGTAAGTGATCAAGTTTCAACCTTTCGAAGACTCTAGGACGGCAATCCAACACGTGACAGGCAGGCACAAGCTGCACAGCAACACCAGCAGAACGCGCGCTTCAACGAGGCACCTTAGCAGCCGAATGCAGCAAAGCAGCATCTGAGATAAGAGACATCGCACTGGGAGTGCGGTCCTCCAGATCATCCTGAGAACCATTACGCTCCCTGAAACAATCATGGAAGTGGAAAATGGCCCCTTGGATGCCTTGGACCAATAAGGTCCTCTACAAACAGGTCCTTTTACACTTCCACGTGTACGTGCCTCGGAGAGTATAGGTTGGTTCTTTGAACGGTCTTTGGGAGAACATCACTTTCATCATCATCTTCATCCTCATCTCCCAAAAGTCGAATGCTTCGGATTTCGCGACCGGTTTACTGGGTGCCCCAGCGGCAGTAGCAACAGCAGCAGCAAAGCACCAGAACCTCACGACGTGACGGTCCATGGGGACGGTCCGCTCCGTTCGGTTCTTGATGAGTTTAGAAACAAATAGACCAATTGGACTGGTCTATGTCTCTTGGATTGTATGGGGAGTTGTATTAAAGAACCGATAACAACCGTCTACATTCCATGTGTCAAGCTGCATACCACTTGGTGTCAACATCCTTTGGTTTCCACGGTGTCAGAAGAAGAGGTACATCTAAAAAGCTATTTCTTTCGAAGTGACAGCTATTGACCAGCAGTGCTCCATGACGAGCCAACACATCCGGTGTTCCTTCTGTTCTTGGGTACAGTGCTCAAAAGCACTGGCGGAGAGAACGGAGCGAAATGGAGGAGTGTTCGGCAAAAGACATACTGAAATGGTTCAAAGATTCAATGTCTTTTAGAACTCTTTTTGGGGAGAGATGAGTGCATTTCTTTTAGCATCTGACAGCAACTCAGAGATGATTCAGCGCGACATTCATCCGGTTTCAACGAAATGACAGGGATCCTGACAGCATCTGACAGCTATCGATCGAGGTTTTTGAGTGTTTTCAAGTCCCGGCGCCGGACTTCTGCTTTCTCCGTTGTCTCCACTGACGCTTCTGAGGCCAAATGGTGGAAACAAAGGACATGCAAACGGCTGCAAACGCCTTGGTTTGCAAACGGTGCATTCTGGCATACTTTGGACCCGCAGAACTCCTGAGACACCTCCTGATGTGAGCCGGGGCTCCTCACTGTAAGCAACAATGCTGGGCCTCCATTGCTGAGCAAAAAGCCCCAAACACCTCAAGGACGACGGCGATCTCCATGGGAAATGGTCGAATCATGAGTGAACATACCCAGCCGGGGGCCGCCCTGCGCGGCGGTCGCTTCGGCAGGTGAAACCCAAAAAGAAACACATGATCGGTTGATATCGGTTGAATGTTGTTCAACGAAAAAACATAAACAACTCATCTAACAAGTCACCAACAGACTATCCAGGCCACTACTTATGGACCTCCAGACACGACACCCAGAACGGATGATCCTGGAAACCATCCGATACGTAGGACGAAGTGGCTGGAGCTGGCTTAACCATTGCTTCGCAATGAGCTTTTTGCTGCGTCTTGGATCTGATTTGAAAAACAGCACCCAGCTCACCGCACCCAACGTCGTGGCAAAGTCCAGCCCAGCTACGCCCAGCTTGCTTGCGTTGCCCTTCCAAACGTGAACCGTTTTCCTATATATATATTATAAATACCATTAAATACCGGTGAAACGAACTGAACGAACTCCACCCGTTCGTTCTTTGTTTTTTGTGTCCTCAATCCACCGAAAAGGTGTCAATAAAAGTTATCCCCTTTTGGAGGGTCCTGGTGGTTTCGCATCTGACTCGCAGCATCAGGTTCCCTCGACGCAAAGTTCCCGACACGTTGCCACGCCAAGCTGCTCGTCAGCGTCATCATGATGGATGGTGCATGGGTCGCGGAGGTCTCGGTGTTGCCAGTTGAATTGGCCTGGAAAGGCGGATTCTGCATGGAGCCTTTACCTGGTACGGTGATAATCATCCACCAAAGAATGAGCCACACCCTGGTAGCGAGCCGCTATGGGCTGCAATTAAAATATCATTATATACTATTGAATCTCTGTATGTATATGTATATAGTATATATATATTAAATTAGTAAAATCTATAGAATCTATTTGGCTGGAAAGAAACTGCAGAATAATGATAATGCAGCTACGCTACGCAACTCAAAGAACTGGGAACCTCCATTTGGGTTTGAACTTATATAGTAGGGCGACCCCCAACCAATGGATCTTGGCCTATGTTCCTTCTTCCAGGCAGTCTTTGGGAGGTCTCCCTATTTTAATACACATCCATTTCAACCTTCCACCATCTTCCACCTTGGCTGACCGCCACAAAGAGCGCATAAAGCAGTTGCTCGTCTAGCCTGCTCCACCTGCACGCTACACTGCTCAGCCTGGCTCGGGGCTCAGCAGGTGCTTGTGGTATTCAAAGAGAATGCAGCTGGGCGGGCCATTGCACAGTTCGTCTTGGGGCTTGACCCTCTGAAGTCTAGCCAACTGATGATCAACGTTCTATTTGTTTCCTGCAAGTACTGTCATCCTGGTCCACACCAGGCAAACACTCAAGAAAATGGAGAGAAAGAAATCAAGCGGCTCGCGTCCACCTGGGTGTGTTTCACATCGCTTGGGATGCTTGGTTTTGACCGGCACATTCCAGCATATCATATACGTGTTGAAAGGTTGTGCATATGTTGTTGCAAATGCATGGCTTCAGAAAGGATCAGGGAGGTTTCACAACGATCTTTGGAGCCATGATGAATGATGAGCCATGCAAATTAAATGCGTGTTTGACCAAATGGAACTACCAGACTGGGCAGGAAGAGCAGGAAACATACAGCTCAGCCGGCTCAGCCCCAGACCCTGAAGGCATTGCTGGTCCAGCCATCATCACAAACCTTGGATGGAAGCTTTGTACCCCATGGCGGAGTTCCCACTATCCAAAACCTATGTGGATTAAGGACCCGTTCATGTTGGGCCTGCAACTTGCAGTGCAAGAAAGAAAGCCTTTTCACGGTCTACATCTGATTTTCATTGCATAAAGCAAAATGAGATAGACTGAGCATGGGCCCCAGGCATGCTCAAAAAGGGGTGCAACTGCTCCTTTAACTGGGCTGTCACATTGGGAAGTGCACACCGCTCCACAAGTTAATGACCATGCTGATGTAGATATGAAGCGTGTACAAGGCAAACATCTGACGCAACCATGTCCGTGTCCTTCTTCTGCCCTCAGCTTAGCTTCCAGGCCCTATGCGAGCATTGAACTGTGTTCCTCTCGAACAGAAATCTGTAAAGCATCTTACCACTACCTGATGAGCAATCTTCTGAACACCTTCGCACAGGAAACAAGAAACAAAACCATCAAGCAGCACTGCTGCAATAGTTCACCCCAGCTGGCATCCTCTCAATTGACTGCCTTCAATGAATCCTCTCAATATACCTACCAGATTGAAAAAAAACGTGTCAGTTTCCTCGTTCAATTAATCACGGGTCGTATCATTTATGATGCAAGGAAACAACACATTTGATAGTACTTAAATGTACAGTACTAATTACAGTAACTATAGATACTCACAGGTGATGAAGCATGCCAAATCCTGTGACAACAACTATAGAAATAGGAACCAGGTGGCACTGGGTGAGGTCAGTCAACGTTGGTTCTTCATTGGTGCCACCATACCAACATCAATCTTTATGCACAATTCATGCCAAGAAAACATGTTTATCACTCGAACATCTTGCATGGCACGAGACAAACACCAAACACATCCAAACGCAATTCCTTCTTTGGATCCAAGGGCGCCCATTTCCAAGCTGGGAGCGATACATTCACAAAACATCACCAAAAATCCATAGCCTTTGGAAGTGGCAGTTTGTTCATGAGGAAGTGACAGTTCAGATGTGTTTGACCTAGTTATTGTTTAAACTTCATTGGGGTCTGGAAACCATATTTGTATATGAAACCTGTTTCCTAACTCAAGGTTTTCCTAATATCAACCATTTCCAGGTGGCAACAAGTCTTAATGAAGAATGTGTTTATCCATGTTTATCCTTTTTGTTGTTTTTTTTTGAGCCTTCATTCTTTGCTGTGCTGGACCCCTTTCCTTGCTCACAGGAGTCTGGACCTCAGCTTTAATTGGGAGAAAGAAATGATAAACTGAACTACGTACACACTCTCGTGCATGCATTGACTTGCCTTTGATGTTTTTGAGTCCTGGGTTCCAATTTTTTTTCAAACTGGCCAGTCAAAAGTTTTTTTTTTTCAGGGGAGTGGAGTGGGCAGACTCATTGCTGGAGAACAGAAGCCTAGCTGTGTTATGTTCAGCTTTGAGGTTCAAACTTAAAGTAAAAAACTTGTTCACCAAAAGTGCACTCAAAATTGCAGTGTATAGCTCACTTGAGTTTACAGTTGTTGAATCTTGGAATCCAAAAGTTATTTTTGTTTTGTTTCTTTTGGAACTGGTTTTCACTGCCTTCTACTGTGAAACCCCTTGTGTGTGAAATCTACAAGTCTAGAATCTAGAAAGGTTGGATTTGGCTATGATTTACCATATATTTTCACTTTTCCCAAGAAGGATTAGCTGATTGATAGCTTACCTTATTGATACAATAGCTGGTTTCCTGGAAACAGAGCTGTTTTAGCAAACATTGGCTGTGTCTTTGATTGAGCCAAGCCCCTTCTGCCTAATGGTTCATGTGACAAAGCCTCCACTGTCATTAAGCTCACAGGCAGCAGCCTGGACCTTAAACAAAAGTGCCTTATAACCAAATGAGAAGCCTTTAGAGAAAAGATTGAACTATTATAAAGTCAATCTTTCTTTATATTGTTCTTTAGGTGTGCTTTATTCATGAATATGTTCTGCAAAATAGCTTGCTGTTTTTTGTTTATGTAGTTTCTTTCAGGGGGGTAAAGGTTTTACAGTTTTGTGTCATTTCACTTTGCAAAGTCCATGATGAAAATCAAATCAAGTCAAGACAGTTAGGTATGAATACACACATGCATTTGTTCACATCCATCCACAACTATCATAATGATACAATATGTGTGCCTACCAGGATGTATTGTATAGTTGAATCATGTGTTTCTTTACTAGGACTAGGACACATATATCACTGGACCAAATGTATATTTTCAGGACCTATGTCCTGGCACCATATGTATACTTACCAGGACCTATGTCCCGGGACCATATCTATAGAACCTACGTGCTTGGATCATATGTATATTCACCAGGACTCCTGTCCTTGGGCCATATATATACTTACCATGACCTATGTCCTTGGGCCATATGTATAGTTACCAGGACCTAAGTCCTTGGACCATATATATATATACTTACCAGGACCTATGTCCTTGGGACATATGAATATTTACCAGGACCTATGTCCTTGAGCCATATGTATACTTACCAGGACCTATGTCCTTGGGACATATGAATATTTACCAGGACTATGTCCTTGGATCATATGTTTATTTACCAGGACCTATGTCCTTGGGCCATATGTATACACGCCAGGACCTTAGGTGTTGGGAAAAAACAAACACAAACAAGCCAACACGCAGAAGAAACATAGGCATCAGTATGTTTATACATTTGGACATGTAAGTGAATAGATGCTAGATACAAACATAGATGATTTGTAAATAGTTTGACAGTAGGAGTATAGACCAATGATAGCTAGCTGATAAACTTATTTTTGACTGCCAAAATAAATATATATGTATATAAGCCTACATGAATCATGCAATCAATTGGATCAATACACTGGCAGTTAAATCATTCGTTAGATCAATCAATAGATCAATAGATAAATAGCCAAATCTCAATGATCTAGATCAATATAAATAAAGATAACAAAGAGGGAGTTTCCAAAGCCAAATGGACAAACATACAAAAACAACAACACATGTAGTAATGCAAAGCTAGACTGAAAGATAACACCATTCAACTGAGATTATCTTTACCAGGACTTATGTCCTCAGGAAATAAATAAACATAATAACATTTTAGATATATAAACATAATAAACATAATATATATGAATAAACATATATATATATATCCCCAGGACTTATGTCCTGGACTAAGGACCACTCAGGACTTCTAAGGATCACTCAGGATCACTCAGCGCCGCAAAAAACAGTAACTAGTCTGCCGAACAGGCAGTGTCCCGAACAGGGACCTTTTTTTTCTTTCACCGTCTCATCTTGGTGATGAGAATTTGGCAGTGCCTTGGCATGTGGCGGCTGGGGACTGGGGGCGGGGGCAGCTGTACATACTGGGGTTCAAAAAAATGGTACAACAAATGTAATTGAGTATGATTATAACAACTGCTGGATTGTCAACATGGTCTATGTCAATGTGTCTCAAGGACCTTTTTTTTGGTAGGGTGTGAGATCAATGGTTTTTAGTCTAACATGTTTTGATTGAGGTAGGATGGGTTCCACTCACCCCAAATAAAAGCAAACACCTTTTGCCAGAATTTGTTTCTATTTTCAGGGAATCCCAATAAGGCAACCTCTGGATCTCCTAAATCATTTTGATGGAACAACATGTCATGTTTCAAATGCATGAGAGAAGTTTGTGTTGACAACCAAATCCATCATTACTGGAATTGAAGGTTTCACATAGGGGTGGGTAGAATAGAATGGCGCTGATTAGAAAATCTTCCCCGACAAAAGAGTTAAGTAGAGATGTAGAAGGTGGAACGTATGATTTGGTATATACAGGTAGATAGGTAGGTAGCAAAAGCCTGTCCACAATGACAATGAATGAATGAATGGATGGATGGATGGATGGATGGATGGAGTTGTTGTTATTGTTATTGTTGTTATTGCTGTTATGGTTGTTACTGTCAGTGTTGTTGTTATCAGTCATGGTTTTCAGTAATGGAAGGTGCGCTTGTCATGGTTATGGCTGTTATTGGTCATGCCTACCAAGGCCACTTCATCTCCCTGGTGTTGTTGCTCATTCATTCATTCATTCATTCATTCATTCATTCATTCATTCACCCATCCACCTATTCACCAGCTCCAGGGATCCACCCAACTACCCATTTACCCATGAACCCATTCAACCTTCCAACCATCCAACTTCCAGCCATCCAAACATCCAGCCTCCCAACCATCCAACCACCCATCCAACCATCCAACCACACAAGCACCCAACCATCCCACCAACCAACTAACCAACCAAACAGCCAAACAGCCACACAACCACCCAACAAAAACAACCACACTGACCAAACCAACCAACCAACCAACATTATTGCTGGTCCTGCTGTTATTACTGGTCCTGGTTTCCAGGTCATGGACCAGGGCGTGGTTGTCATTTTTTATTGGTCATTTCATTGTTGTTGCTGACCCTGGCTTCCAGGAGGTACTAGTAGTAGTTGTAGTAGTTGTTGTTGTGGTTGGTGGTGGTGGTCCTGGTTTCCAGGACATTGTTATGGTCAGTGCTGGTTGCCAGGACATTGTTGTTATTATTGTTGCTGTTGCTGTTGGCTGCAGTGGTGGCAGTGGTCCTGGAAACCAGGACATGGTTATTGTTGTTGGTCCAGGTTACCAGGAAGTTGCTATTATCAATCCTGGCTACCAGGATATGGTGATTAGGTTTGCAGGTGGTTGCTGTTACTGTTATCATCATTGGTTTTGGTCCTGGCTTCCAGGACATTATTGTTATCATTGCTGCTGTTACTGTTGACATCAGTTTCCAGGATGTTAGTGTTGCCGATGCTGCTGGTTTCCAGGGCGTGGTTATCAGTTTTCTGTATGTTGTTATTGTTGTTATTACTGTTATTGTTGGTCCTGGTTTCCAGGATGTTATCATCACTATTGTTGTTGTTGGTGGTGGTCCTGTTTTGCAAGATAGTCTTATTGCTGGTCCTGGTTTCCAGGACATGGTTATCAGCGGTTGTTTGTTGTTATTGTTGTTGTTGCTGTTGTGGTTGGTCCTGGTTTCCAGGATGTTGTCAGTTTTACCATTGTTGTTGGTAGTGGTCCTGCTTTGCAGGAAAGTCTGTTTGCTGGTCCTGGTGGTCCTGGTTTCCAGGACATGGTTATTGGTGTTCATTTCATTGTTGTTGTGTGGGGGGCTGCTTTCCAGGATGCTGTAGTAGTGTTGGTAGTAGCAGCAGCAGCAGCAGTAGTAGCAGTAGTAGCAGCAGCAGTTGTTGTTGTTGTTGGTGGTAGTAGTTTTGCTTTTCAGGAGTACTTTGTGTCATTGGTTTTGTTTTGATTTGTGTTCCCCAGAAAGCAGGCCCCACACAACAACAATGAAATGAACACCAATAACCATGTCCTGGAAACCAGGACCACCAGGACCAGCAAACAGACTTTCCTGCAAAGCAGGACCACTACCAACAACAATGGTAAAACTGACAACATCCTGGAAACCAGGACCAACCACAACAGCAACAACAACAATAACAACAAACAACCGCTGATAACCATGTCCTGGAAACCAGGACCAGCAATAAGACTATCTTGCAAAACAGGACCACCACCAACAACAACAATAGTGATGATAACATCCTGGAAACCAGGACCAACAATAACAGTAATAACAACAATAACAACATACAGAAAACTGATAACCACGCCCTGGAAACCAGCAGCATCGGCAACACTAACATCCTGGAAACTGATGTCAACAGTAACAGCAGCAATGATAACAATAATGTCCTGGAAGCCAGGACCAAAACCAATGATGATAACAGTAACAGCAACCACCTGCAAACCTAATCACCATATCCTGGTAGCCAGGATTGATAATAGCAACTTCCTGGTAACCTGGACCAACAACAATAACCATGTCCTGGTTTCCAGGACCACTGCCACCACTGCAGCCAACAGCAACAGCAACAATAATAACAACAATGTCCTGGCAACCAGCACTGACCATAACAATGTCCTGGAAACCAGGACCACCACCACCAACCACAACAACAACTACTACAACTACTACTAGTACCTCCTGGAAGCCAGGGTCAGCAACAACAATGAAATGACCAATAAAAAATGACAACCACGCCCTGGTCCATGACCTGGAAACCAGGACCAGTAATAACAGCAGGACCAGCAATAATGTTGGTTGGTTGGTTGGTTTGGTCAGTGTGGTTGTTTTTGTTGGGTGGTTGTGTGGCTGTTTGGCTGTTTGGTTGGTTAGTTGGTTGGTGGGATGGTTGGGTGCTTGTGTGGTTGGATGGTTGGATGGGTGGTTGGATGGTTGGGAGGCTGGATGTTTGGATGGCTGGAAGTTGGATGGTTGGAAGGTTGAATGGGTTCATGGGTAAATGGGTAGTTGGGTGGATCCCTGGAGCTGGTGAATAGGTGGATGGGTGAATGAATGAATGAATGAATGAATGAATGAATGAATGAATGAGCAACAACACCAGGGAGATGAAGTGGCCTTGGTAGGCATGACCAATAACAGCCATAACCATGACAAGCGCACCTTCCATTACTGAAAACCATGACTGATAACAACAACACTGACAGTAACAACCATAACAGCAATAACAACAATAACAATAACAACAACTCCATCCATCCATCCATCCATCCATCCATTCATTCATTCATTGTCATTGTGGACAGGCTTTTGCTACCTACCTATCTACCTGTATATACCAAATCATACGTTCCACCTTCTACATCTCTACTTAACTCTTTTGTCGGGGAAGATTTTCTAATCAGCGCCATTCTATTCTACCCACCCCTATGTGAAACCTTCAATTCCAGTAATGATGGATTTGGTTGTCAACACAAACTTCTCTCATGCATTTGAAACATGACATGTTGTTCCATCAAAATGATTTAGGAGATCCAGAGGTTGCCTTATTGGGATTCCCTGAAAATAGAAACAAATTCTGGCAAAAGGTGTTTGCTTTTATTTGGGGTGAGTGGAACCCATCCTACCTCAATCAAAACATGTTAGACTAAAAACCATTGATCTCACACCCTACCAAAAAAAAGGTCCTTGAGACACATTGACATAGACCATGTTGACAATCCAGCAGTTGTTATAATCATACTCAATTACATTTGTTGTACCATTTTTTTGAACCCCAGTATGTACAGCTGCCCCCGCCCCCAGTCCCCAGCCGCCACATGCCAAGGCACTGCCAAATTCTCATCACCAAGATGAGACGGTGAAAGAAAAAAAAGGTCCCTGTTCGGGACACTGCCTGTTCGGCAGACTAGTTACTGTTTTTTGCGGCGCTGAGTGATCCTGAGTGATCCTTAGAAGTCCTGAGTGGTCCTTAGTCCAGGACATAAGTCCTGGGGATATATATATATATGTTTATTCATATATATTATGTTTATTATGTTTATATATCTAAAATGTTATTATGTTTATTTATTTCCTGAGGACATAAGTCCTGGTAAAGATAATCTCAGTTGAATGGTGTTATCTTTCAGTCTAGCTTTGCATTACTACATGTGTTGTTGTTTTTGTATGTTTGTCCATTTGGCTTTGGAAACTCCCTCTTTGTTATCTTTATTTATATTGATCTAGATCATTGAGATTTGGCTATTTATCTATTGATCTATTGATTGATCTAACGAATGATTTAACTGCCAGTGTATTGATCCAATTGATTGCATGATTCATGTAGGCTTATATACATATATATTTATTTTGGCAGTCAAAAATAAGTTTATCAGCTAGCTATCATTGGTCTATACTCCTACTGTCAAACTATTTACAAATCATCTATGTTTGTATCTAGCATCTATTCACTTACATGTCCAAATGTATAAACATACTGATGCCTATGTTTCTTCTGCGTGTTGGCTTGTTTGTGTTTGTTTTTTTTCCCAACACCTAAGGTCCTGGCATGTATACATATGGCCCAAGGACATAGGTCCTGGTAAATAAACATATGATCCAAGGACATAGTCCTGGTAAATATTCATATGTCCCAAGGACATAGGTCCTGGTAAGTATACATATGGCTCAAGGACATAGGTCCTGGTAAATATTCATATGTCCCAAGGACATAGGTCCTGGTAAGTATATATATATATGGTCCAAGGACTTAGGTCCTGGTAACTATACATATGGCCCAAGGACATAGGTCATGGTAAGTATATATATGGCCCAAGGACAGGAGTCCTGGTGAATATACATATGATCCAAGCACGTAGGTTCTATAGATATGGTCCCGGGACATAGGTCCTGGTAAGTATACATATGGTGCCAGGACATAGGTCCTGAAAATATACATTTGGTCCAGTGATATATGTGTCCTAGTCCTAGTAAAGAAACACATGATTCAACTATACAATACATCCTGGTAGGCACACATATTGTATCATTATGATAGTTGTGGATGGATGTGAACAAATGCATGTGTGTATTCATACCTAACTGTCTTGACTTGATTTGATTTTCATCATGGACTTTGCAAAGTGAAATGACACAAAACTGTAAAACCTTTACCCCCCTGAAAGAAACTACATAAACAAAAAACAGCAAGCTATTTTGCAGAACATATTCATGAATAAAGCACACCTAAAGAACAATATAAAGAAAGATTGACTTTATAATAGTTCAATCTTTTCTCTAAAGGCTTCTCATTTGGTTATAAGGCACTTTTGTTTAAGGTCCAGGCTGCTGCCTGTGAGCTTAATGACAGTGGAGGCTTTGTCACATGAACCATTAGGCAGAAGGGGCTTGGCTCAATCAAAGACACAGCCAATGTTTGCTAAAACAGCTCTGTTTCCAGGAAACCAGCTATTGTATCAATAAGGTAAGCTATCAATCAGCTAATCCTTCTTGGGAAAAGTGAAAATATATGGTAAATCATAGCCAAATCCAACCTTTCTAGATTCTAGACTTGTAGATTTCACACACAAGGGGTTTCACAGTAGAAGGCAGTGAAAACCAGTTCCAAAAGAAACAAAACAAAAATAACTTTTGGATTCCAAGATTCAACAACTGTAAGCTCAAGTGAGCTATACACTGCAATTTTGAGTGCACTTTTGGTGAACAAGTTTTTTACTTTAAGTTTGAACCTCAAAGCTGAACATAACACAGCTAGGCTTCTGTTCTCCAGCAATGAGTCTGCCCACTCCACTCCCCTGAAAAAAAAACTTTTGACTGGCCAGTTTGAAAAAAAATTGGAACCCAGGACTCAAAAACATCAAAGGCAAGTCAATGCATGCACGAGAGTGTGTACGTAGTTCAGTTTATCATTTCTTTCTCCCAATTAAAGCTGAGGTCCAGACTCCTGTGAGCAAGGAAAGGGGTCCAGCACAGCAAAGAATGAAGGCTCAAAAAAAACAACAAAAAGGATAAACATGGATAAACACATTCTTCATTAAGACTTGTTGCCACCTGGAAATGGTTGATATTAGGAAAACCTTGAGTTAGGAAACAGGTTTCATATACAAATATGGTTTCCAGACCCCAATGAAGTTTAAACAATAACTAGGTCAAACACATCTGAACTGTCACTTCCTCATGAACAAACTGCCACTTCCAAAGGCTATGGATTCAAACCCCCCCCAACAACAAGCTCCTTACAGGAAAGACTCCACAAATCGCACTCTCCACAAAGCGCCAGGCAGCGCAAGTTGTGGGATCGGAAGGGTCCGGGTGTCCATGGCCACAGCACTCCCTGTCCGTGGAACGCACGTCCCGTTCGATTCATGGCCCGGCAGGGCTTGGTGTTCACATGAAGTCATGAAGTCATTGGGGTTGGTGTTGTCATGTGTTGTCTATCAACAGTTTCTGTTTAACAGAAACACCATGCACGACCTGTTTGACAATTTATACGTATATCCCTACAGGTCCAGTCTGGCCCAGTAAAACCTGGTCCTTTACCTCATTGAGTAGTGTTTTAGATTGTTTTTGTATCTTTGATCTGTAGTACATAGTGTATGGGTATAGATGGAAATGGGGACTTGATACGGGCCTCAGGAGTTTCATCTTCGGATTTGAAAAGGGGCTTTCTGGTACTAATCACTTGAGTTGGAGCACATTCTATGTATGGCCATGGAAACACAAAAAAAACTGGACCTCACCCCCTGAAGGGGGGGACCCTTAAACCATTACCTTAACCCCCTTGGTTTTATAGAGGATATGTCCACCCAAATGAAACACACATTGACTCCTTTTCAACCACCCCAACTGATCCGTATTGATCCGTAAGTATGTCAGTTCCATTGGTTCTTGTCACAACACCAGAGCAGCCAGCTGCGTTCCCTCCCCGGTCGACCCCCTGGGAGCTCTCACATGCAAAGGTGGCCTGGCCAAACTGACGGACAACGACTGGAAGCTGGGAGCCACTGAGTTGCTTTCCCTATCAAAAATGGTAGAGATTTATAGAGAATTAGAAAGCATGAGCCACCCACAGGTACAAGTAGGTTTGGAATGGTTGGATGATGTTTCTGCATGAATTTGCACTCTGTGTTGGATTTCCAATCAAGCACAAATACACAACTGGAAGGACCCTCCCAGTTCAAGCGTGTATTCAAAAGACCAGCGGCCCATGTGCACGTGCGTCTAACACCACGTTCGAAGGGCACCTGAGGAAGTCGTGGCCGTGGACGTGGTCGGTTCATTCGTGAAAGACCTCAGACGATGTCGGAGCGCTGTGTTCGACCGATCTGGTCATCGAAGGACTGCCACTGTCAACATGTGGAGGAAATCAATAGACTTAGGACCTATATATGGATCTTGTCACGATTGATGGATCCGCATACCGTCTGACAGGGTCCAAGTACACGCCCCTAGATGGTCTGGCAGTCGTAAGGATGGTCCAGTCTGACCGAACCTGAGAAGGTGTGGATGTGTGGATGTTCGGACTGGATTTGCCGGGGATCCTCCAGGTTTTCCATTGAAAGCATTTGGGTCGCCAACGACCTGGAGCTGTTGAAAGGTTCTTCCGTAAAGTTGTTTTAAATAGGGAGAAACCCTGGCCCAAAGGGTAATTAGACTGCCTGTTCTATTTCTCTTCTTCCAAGCGGGTCGTTGCGCGGGATGGTCTCCCTATTTTTGCAATTTGTTGTAAACACCCATATGAGTGATGGACAAAATCTCTGGTGACATTCCTGCTGCTCCGTTGCCAAAAACCAACGAGAACCTCGACCCTCAGGCCTCATGGAAGTGAATGTAGACTCTGATTCATAACCTCCCCAATTGAATTGAACAACCTCTTCAGGCTTGGGGTGTTTTATTAATCAAGATTCTACATTTCATTACAGATTCTTTCAGTGTAACCCAAACACTCCATGGGACTGCCATAGGACTGCCGATCAGGCCAGGGGTGGTGGTTTGGGGGGGTCTTAATGGGACGGCAGTCCGTCCTGGCAGTCCCATGGTCAAGCAAGGCTCCGCATTCGCGCGGACGTCCAGGTGCATAGACTTCCCCGGAACACACATGGAAGTGGAGTTCACCCCGTGTTTGGTATTATGGAACCTGGTCTTCCAAGCTACTATAGTAGCTAGAAGCTACTAGGTGGAGGCCATCGCTACTAGTAACAAGATGTAACAAGAAGTTGCAAGTCACAAGTAACAAAAAATAATTGAGGTACTTCTGACCACTATTCCGCTTTTGTTACTACCTAAACAATTGAGGTACCTCATAAGCGGAATTGAGGTACTCTTTGTTCAGCACCACTCTTCCGCTTTTTGAGTGAACTCGGACGCCACGTAGGCTTTTTCAGTAAAAACACCTCAAAGTACGCCAGGCTTTCTTTGAGTATAGGCCCATAGGCTAGGTATAGTCTGTAGCTAGTTGAGCTAGCTCATCAGAGATGAACATGTTCTAAATGGTTATTTGATAATGTTATGGGATATACCTCAGAACTGCTTGAGGACTGGAATCTATCTCATGCTTCATGTGGAACCTATCTCTTGACCAAACGACGTCCACCGCACCAAACCGTCCACCAAGTGCGGTCATCCGATCACGGAGTCGCGCCAACCGGCCCTCCAAGTGGAACAGGCCCAAGAAGCGTCAGAAGCGTCCGTCCCAAACGGAAGCGCGCCGGACTTGGAACCTCTTGTCCCCCAGCGTTCGGGTCGAAAGCGCGTCGTTCCGTCCACCCGAGCGGTGGGATGGCGTGGAGCCCGTCAAGGAGACAGTTTGACGACCCAGATGATTGAAGGGTTCAAATAGGAAAACAAACACATCTGATGGCCAATCTTCCAGTTTGGGGTTTCAAATAGGTCAATGTTTGGGGTTCTTCAAATGTTTTGGTTCAAATAGGGAAAGATCATGTAGACTCTTAGATGAACCAAAACCCCACCCTTTGAAGTGGACAAAATCCTCTTCAGGCTTGGGGGGTTTATTCATCAAGAGTCTACATTAGGAAAGATTAGGTCAATATCCCAGTCCCAGCCGCAGTCCTCGATCCATCGCAGCGCGCTTATCCCGCGCGTCCGAGTTTAGTCTCAGATCGCCTACGCCAAGCCACGCCAAAGCGTCACTGACCGTCACGCACTTGTTCACCTGCGAGGTAAACCAAACACCTGCAAGGTAACAACAAACATCTCTATAGGGATCCACTGCCACCTTCTTTAGTCTATAGTACGACTGGACCAAACACATGACCGCCTACATGTCAACACACATCACCCTACATGTCAAGGTGGCAGTGAATCGATCTTCTGAGAAAGTCAACATTTGGGACACCTCTCTGTAGCCTGATGTAAAGTTCGGGTGTCACGCCTCGAGGCGGCAGTCCTTGCAATTGAGTGGAATTTGCATAGTTATATACAATAGCATAATTATCATATTATCAATAATATATATATATCATCATAAATCTAATCTTACACACAACATCTCTACTGCATTAAATGAAACATGCTTCATCAAGCATAAACACCAGATCAAGCACTTCATCTCTTATTAAGTCGCAGATCAAACGATCAATTTCACCGGTGACATGGATCCAGTTTCGCAGACGACCGTCCAAGCGGTGGCGACTACAGCAACCCCACCAACAACCCAAGCGAGAACACCGAGCTCAGATCTCGGCCTGCGGATCATATTCCTCCGTTGGAGTGCAGTCATCGGCCACTCGTTCACACCTGGAAGACACCGAGTCATTGGCCATGCGCCCCGTCTCTGGCATGGTCTCTGAGTCTCGGGCGCATGGGACTCGGGCCATAGGGCCGTAGGTGACTTCGGGCTGCTTCAAGGGCCCCAGGCCAAGGATGCCAGGCATGACGGAACAAATTAGTTGCAATCTAAACTACTGGACAAATAATTGAACGTCATTGCTCCTTCCCAGGCTCTTGACATATCGAACGATGCGGACTTGTAAACATGCATGCTTTGGGGGCGTTGGTGAGTACCACGACTCCTCAAAGCACCATGGTGAGAGATACCTATTATGCGTCAGCGCAACCTGGCCTCAGCATGCTTCAGCTGGGCAGAACTTCGAACAAAGAAAAAGGGATAAAAGGGGGCTGTCTACGACGAGGCCAGCGGTATCTACAGGGTATGGTTCCTACAGGTGCCTATAGTACTCTGTGATGAGGCTTTTCAGAGCTTCGGGATCCCATTCTTTGGCTCTTAGTACATCTGGTCGTACCAGGATTTGTTTGGTCGTCCCGTTTCCGCAAAGCTCTTCAGACGGGAAGGCGGCACCTCTCACACGTCTGCGGGGTTGCACCTGGCTTGCTCCTGGTTGAAGAAGTTCTGCTCACCGCCATACTTCAGTGCACAGCAAAGGGCACCATCTGCGGCGCGGATGGTAAGGATAGAACCTGCTTACTGGTCAACTCGTTTCTCCATGTTTGCAACCTGCTGAGTCTAGATATGGGACCACGTCCTACCCACCCCTAGCCTAACCTCCTTGGATAGCACCCAACTCCATGGACGTGTTGGTACAGCATGTGTTTCAAGCCCAAACAGAAGAGAGTCCAGTCGCAAACCCAATCAAACCCACTTGCTGACAAAGAACCTGAGACTGGACACTGATCCTGGAGCCAGGCATTGTTTGCCATGTTCCCGAATGTTCCCCCAAAAAGAATAGTACTTATATGTCCTTATATATATATAGTATGCAAATACAGGTCCAAGGGGACTCAGCAATAGATACCCCCTATTTGAAAGCAGGTCTACCTGATAAACATGGATCTTGACCAAACATGAATTTTGACGGACGTGTTCTTACGCAAACTTGGATGTGGCTCCATAGAATCTGATCAACACCAACATGTTTCCCTCACCTGCCAGGTCAACACAGGGCTTGTGCCTTTGCTCGCGAACACCTGGCCTGCAGCGCAGTCCGAATCCTGTAGAGAACGACGAGGAGCCGTGTCGACGACGCGGGTTTTGCAGCTAACTTTTATTTTGAACCGAAAACTGCAAGCTCCCAAGACGTTTCTGTTTTGAGAAAAGACCTACCAAAACCCATACTTTGAAATCCTATAGAGACAAAGTCCAAAGGTCCCTACCCAATAGAGAGAAGTCGACCCAGCACGCGTTCCAAGCGCTTTCTCCTGAGCGGCCACCAAATGCGCGAACGCCAAGTGGAGAATCATTCCATGGCAGGTGAATCGCGCCGCGACAGGTGAACCGCCGCGTGGCCCGGGCCCCCCGAGCTAGAACAACAGAGCAGGACTGAGGGAGCAGCTGCGGGTTGGAGAAGCCATCAAGTTGGAGAGAGAATGATCTTCACTGATCCTCAATGCGTTAGGGATCAGGTTTCTTTGGACCACTTTCTACAGCAGGATATCGCAGTGCGCCACAAGAAAAAGGCAGCAAAAACCACAGTTATTGGAGTTGGTTTAAGGGAACATCTACAGGAAACCCATGTGTTTGCTGATGAAAACCATGGTTTCCTTTCCGATGTTCCCTTAAACAAAACTATTGAAAGTGCATCTCCGGTGTTGTGGTGGTGAGCAAGGGATTTTGCCGTGTTTCTAACAGCAAGCTTCTGGCTATATGCCGATACCTGGGATCTGTCTTTATTCTATATAATAAATGGTTTCGAGTGAGAAGTATGTAATAATGATATATAAGCAGCATAACATATTATGCGATGTGATCTGTCTACGGTGGTCTAAAGTATTGTTATATACGTAGTGTTTTTTTTGCAATCTCTGGATATCTTCAGAGATATCTTCTGGCAATCCCCGCACGGCCACCCGAATGGCGAAACAACATAAACGCGACTCTTCGTCCTTGGCCCAAGGTGGATTCTTGTCACAGTGTCTCGCGAGGAAGAGGTTAAAGACCTGATGCGTCCAAGGCGAGACAACATCAGTCCAAGGCGATTGATGCGTGGATGGCTTTGGAGAACAAAAGAAACACAAACACACAATGAGTCTCCCATCATCTCCCTGTTCAACACACACACACACACTATGCATACATAAATACATAACCGGCATAATTGATATAATGATTTCTACCGAACCACCATATCGTTTCTCTTTTACTAAGGATTTTACACCACGGAACCAGGTCCACCATTTTTTGAATGGTCTTGGAATTCCAGGGTATTTACTATAAAAAGTATTATATAGTTACAGTATAATATATGTATATACATACATATATATAATACCAAAACTGCTGCCAACACGAAAATACACAAGAATCATCTCGTTGGCTTGTATAGGCCTTGATCGAATTTCTTGTGTAAGCGCGTGTTGATTCAGCATAATTCAGCTATATCATTCCTGAGATTCCAAGAAAGTCGAGAGTTTTTGTGACTTTTTTAGTGCGCTGCCAGTGCATCATGTGTCTCAAGTTTCTTTCTGATTCTTGGGACCCGCGCACATCTGGAAGGCAAACGGCCAACCTAGGAGGCGGAAGATGTTCGTTCTTTTTTTCAGATGTGTCCCAAACAACTTCTGAGAAATGTTTTTGGGTCTATCAATTCAACGGTGAGATCATAGGAGATCTGTCTTGTTTGTTCAGCAGGTCGTAAACTCCGGAAACTGCAGATCATGAAACATGTTGGTCATGGTGAGTCATGGTATGATGTGATTAATCGTTTGAACGAGTTCCGTATACCCTGAGGTCAACCTCTAGCAATCCAAGTTTTCTTCTCTGGCAGCGACCGGGACTCACATACCTTCGAGAAAAAGGTACACTCGCTGGAATCATCATGGAATCACGTGGAATGAGTGAAAGCATGTGAAAGCCACCGTTGGGTCTTCGGATTGAAAGAGGTCCTCCGAGTCCGCCTGGTGTCACCATGGATGGACTGGGACTTGAAGACTCCAAAGGTCCAAGGCTTCAAAGCGTCAGCAACACATGGGTGTGTAGCTCAACTAGGGAGACCGAGACCCGGCGTGGCGTTGGGATAGATCGACTGGCAGGGCCCGGCGGTCCACCCTGGACCGACCGCCTGGATCCTTCTCGGATCCTTGGAGATCCTTCAGTCGACAAGGTATCGCCAGTGTCCAGACGTGCACAGTATCCAAAGTGGAACTGGCAGTATTGGTCAGGTCAGCAAGTGAAGGACCTGTCTACCGCAGTGCATGTCTGGCACAGCCAGCCAAATCCCAGAATCTCTATAGTATATATATATATACATATATGTACATACTTACACACATACATTTTTCATTTGCAGTGTTCCTGGGAAGACCAGAATGGATTGCAAAAAGTGGGCCCCCAACAATCCGACCAGGGGTGTGGTGCTCAGTAGAATTAGATCGTACTTTGGTGGTTACAATCACTCAAGGAAACTCAGGAGTAGAAAAAAATCCATGCATTGTTACAGTTATATCAATTATATATCATGCTATATATCCTTACCACTCACATAACTCAATGATCTCCATAAGAGCATTGTGTGAAAGGCCACGCGTCCGCGGCAACACCTGAGTGACCCCGGCCGTCTCCTCGCTGGCAACACCTGCGAGAAGGCGGGGAGCTCGCGGCCAGCGGAAAAATCCAGGTTCATATAGAAGACCGTGGTTCATACATATGTATATATATACACACACACACACACCCTGCAGCCGAAACCTGGAAAAATACAGGTTACCTTGATTTGTGCCCGTCTTTGAGTGCAAAGTGACATGCACTGCTTGGCTTCCACTTGAGTGGATCTGGGTACCCCAGGTTACGGGTCCTAGTTCAGCCCAAACCATCCATGGGACTGGAATATACATATATATATTATATACAAATTATATAATCCCCCCTTCATTGTTGGGTTGGGTGCTTTTAGAGGCATTCTATAAACTTTGGGCCCTATAAAGTGCCTAGAGAGGGTGGATTTCCTATAAAATGCCAAACAGGGCAAAAAGCATCCAAAACTATAAAATAGGGAAGGTGGATTCTGAGCATTCAACACCAAAAATTGCACAAAACACAGCAGGCCTATATAATGCCCATGATGGGTTCCCCATAGAAACAAATACAAAAAAGCACACTGTCTATATAATGCCACGTGTGGGTGCAAGCACAAAAAAGTGAATGGCAAGCCAAAGTGCCTAGAGAAAAGTCGCAGCACTGTTCTTCTCATGGCCGGCGAGTCCAGAACAATTGACTCTCCAATCCATCTTATTGAGTGATTATTTATGTGTCCTTTTAGTATCTTTTAGTTGGGCCATGTATGAACTTGTCCAAGAACATTGACAAAAAAACAAAGAAAACCATATTGGGGGTCCTGTACTCATCTGAGATAAACAAACAGTTGCCCAAAAAATGATCTGACGAGGTGCCAGTATCAAACTTATGAAACATCCCATCCTGCTATAACACGCCCTGACACTAACAGCCTCAAAATCACTCAAATGTATAACATGCAAAAATGGACATCGTACCTCCCAAACCCCCAAAAAAAAACACCAAGATTCAGAGTGTGCACCGCATGGGTCCCCTATAAAATGAGGGTCAAAACTGGCATATATAGCACATTATAGCACAAAAGGATCAGCATTCTAATCATTCTATAGGCGAACACCGGTGGGGGATATGATATATGCCTACATTGACCCCTCTCCCGACCCCAATGTAGGTCAAGATGCCAGTCCCATGGTCTGGTCAGGTCACCACTCTGTTGGTGGAAAAGGATGGGACCCCCAGGTCATGTACCAAGATCCAACAAGTACCTATGGCTCACTCGGATCCTCCAAACGAGCCCGTTCTGGTCTATGCTGTTGATGTTGCCGTGGGTTCCCACGCCCACACGACAACGACCAGAGGACCACGACCTGGGCGTGGTCAAAGGACCAACGAGCTGACGACCCCATAAAGATTGGGTTCCTAACCCCATGGGAGAAAAGAACATGTCAGTGGTAATTACTATAAATGTTTGAGGATATGTGTATTTTGCTATCTTATATGGTAGCTTGATGTAGCTTAGATTCCCCCGCGAATTGAGTCTTCCAGTCTTCTTACGAACTGCGCGGAACAATCTCCCAACGTGGCAGCTGTGGGCGCCCGATTCGGACAAGCACCTTCAGCCCTGTAGAGCAGGACGAACAGCAATCCGACGAGGCTGCCTCGGCAGGATATGATGAGGGTTTCACAGGCAATTCGAGCGATTTGCAACCCCCGTCTGGATGAGTTTGAGAGAAAAATGAATTGGATCAGGGAGTTGTGAACCGCAGGTTCTCTCAATCGCACAGCCCTTAGGATGTGCGGAACGGCGCCAGAAAAAGACATGCATCGGTTTTTGCAGTTCGCTGCTTTCTGTACCGTAAACATGAACAACGTGCAACCTGTCGCACCACGGATTTGGGGTGGTACCTCTAGACACCCAACAATTACATATGCTCCCACGACTCGAATAACCACCCCAAATCCGTGGTGCTATGGCAGATTGCACTTCTTGACGCCTCAGGGCGTGACAACAGATCCCTAGCTTTAAGCTGCAGGACCGCCTCGAGCCATTTTCACCTGCCATGGGCCACGGTAAACGGCCCGTGGGGTGAAGTCAAGGCCTTTTGATGGTGCAGATGGTAAGAGTTCAACATACCTGAAGGAAACCAGCAAATGAACGTGGCCATGTGGCATGCCCAAATGAGTGGAGTCGTTTTCATGCATCTGTACCTTGCCGCTAACCTGCAACCACATTTGGGAGGAACTTATTCTTATCCAGCTCCCACAGGCTATTGTTTAACATGAAGCACGAAGATCAAACATATCCAGCTCCATTCATGCCAGTTATCCTAAACCTCATTCGTCTGTCAGAAGATCTTTACCGGTTGAATATCTGCTTGAGCTGCGGCGCATCCAATTATGTTTTTTCAGATCACTGATCACTAAGTATATTAGTGGAATACTCTAGGCTATAGAAGATCTATACCAGAACAAACAATAACAAATACTTCTGTCAGATCTCAAGATCCAATCGAAGCTGCCTTTGGTCTCCGGCCTTTCCAGCCTGCGTCGGTCGCAGGAACCTTTGGTTACGAAGCACAACCCTTTCCATTCTCCTGGTAGACCCTAAACAGCCTTAACCCCTATCCCATCAGAACCCCTAAATTGGACATCATTGTTTGAGAAGAAAACAAAACAAAAACAATGTGTTTCGGCTTCCTTTCAACCGGTGATTCTGCATCCTCGGCATCGGCTGGTCCCCATTTTGGAGGTTCCAAGAGCGGTGCTAGACGAATCAATACTAAGATGGTTCAATTTGTGTTAACATGTAAACCAACATGGTTCA